TTTAGGTGAATTTTAATCTTTTCTGTGAATGATAAAGCATTGTTTAAACAAAAAAAGCAATGGAAGAAATATGACAATCAACTTGACTACACATACATTGTCAACTTTCATATGTGAAAAAAAGAAAGGAATCAATATAGATAACATAAATATATATACGAACAGGCTAAACAAAGGAATGATTATTAAAAAATGAAGCACAAATGAAAATAAGCATTTCAAAAATATTCAGCCTCACCTAATCAAACAACAGTAGAAGAATAATGTAGTACTTTAAAGCTTAAGACTTGAAAGTAAAATCAATCTTGGTCCTAGACCCAATTCCACAATTTATCAGTTGTGTTAACCTTGGGGAAGTCACTTACCCTCTCAAAAAATGTTTCCTAACCTCTAAAAGAGGGGGATAATATTATCCTCCTCTTCCAGCTGTTGCAAAGATTAAATGAGATAATATAAAGATCTTGCATGATGAATGGCCTGTAAGAGGTGATCAATAAGTACTGATGTCGTTATTGACAATAATGATGTCACTGTTGTTACTGATGTTGTTACAATCATCTTCACCTTCCCAATGAACAAACATTCTTAAAAAAATAATCTCTCTCAGTTCTGGTAAGGATGGAGATATGATTTATGTATTTTCAGGGAGAATGAAAATGGATGCAATCTTTCCAGAAAGCAATTTGGCAATATGGATAAGGAGTTTCTAAAAGGCCCTACCCTTTACTCAGTATATAATTCTAGGAATCGCTCCTAAAAAAACAGTGGGAAATATAGGCAAGGAATATCAGAAAATGGAGTCATACCGAAAATATTTATTACAATGTGATAACAGGGGGGAAAAATGCCAATAATGTAAAAGTGTAAGTTGAGAGAATGGCTAAACAAATGGTAATGACCCACATGCCTCTCTACCAGAGAGCAATAAAAAAGAAGTTAGAGAAGTGTTTCCATACATGGAAAAAGTGATTTCTTTTGTATTCATTGCTGTAAACCAGAACAAAGCTCAACAATGTACTTGACACATAGTAGGGGTTTAATCAGTATCTACACCAAACAACTGAATTGAAAGTGAAAACAAAATGAGAACACTCATTTTGCGCGCGCGCACACACACACACACACACACACACACACAGTATAATCTTAACTATTTTTAAAAGAATCACAAGAAATCCTAGAAAGAAATATGATAAAATGGTAACAATATTGTCTTTGAGTGATTTTTTTTTTATTCCTCTTTAGGCTTTTCTCCACTTGCCAAATTTTCTTCAATGAAGATTTATTACATTTATCATTAGGAAAAAAATAAGTAAGAATGAAAGATATCAACTAGAAGCCAACTGGCTTGATTATTTCTCATTACACCATTCTGAGTATGTACCCTTCTTCACTCCCACCCAAAATATAAAATGGGAAATGAGAATATGAATAATATGAATAAATTGGGAGGCAGTCTTTAAAACACAGCCCAGGGAAGAAAACATTATGGTAAATTTGAAAAAATGTCAAAGAACTGTGTGTCTAATATTAAGAAAATTATACAGGGGCTTTGCTTCCTATATAATTTATACATATAAAAATATAAGACGGTATAAACCCTTTTGGTACAAAATTACTTGTTTTCTCTATAGTGGAATTATATTTGCTCTTAGACGCATACTGTCACAAAGATTTATACATAGTGGTTCCTGTCAATTTTTTGAAATCTGAAAACTTCTACTCTTTTACAATTTCAACTCTACACAAAATCTAAAAGGTCTATTTTAGGAGACCCATGACATTCTCAAAGGGAAGAACCAAACAATTTCTCAGATTCCCAAATTCTCAAACACACTCACCAGGGATAATTAGCCCTAGAAAGTGATGTCATGTCACCTAGAGCATAAAATCACCTGGAGCTGTGACTGCTGGCCACTGGCTGGCCTCATGAGCTGACAGGCCAGTTTCCAGGATTGTGAGATTTAAGTTCACACCTCAGCAAAATTTCAGATTACTACACATCATGTACCTTTAAGACAGATGGTAAAATCTTGGACTCGTGCAAACTAAATTCTTCCATGCCAAGGGTCTGCTATCTTTATAATGGCTGTCTCTATAGAAGGAAAAAGTTATATAAATGAACCGTAGTGATAAGGTAAGCAGACAGTTAATATTTGTTTTAATCTAAGAAACTTGATGTAGTCATTGGTTTATCAAGTAGGTACTAACTACCTAACATGTTCAAAGGGCATTGCTGCACACTTCTTGGATTAAGAAATAGGATACAGAACCTAAACTGAGATGCCTTAATATAAAGTCTGCCATATTTTCCAGGAACAAATTCAAGTGCTTGATTTACCTAAGTGCCAAGATTTCTGATTTTTTTTTTAATGAAATATGTATTATTTTTACTGTCGTCCTTATTTTCAAAAGTGTCCCTCATGTGATACCTATTTTTGTAAATAGCTGCTTCTTCATAAGTCTATTTCTTTTGGACTTATGAATTTGCTTCCAAAAAGCTCCAGGGAAGGGAAAGTGAGTAGGACTATGGATCAAACAAAAACGGCCATGATTTGACAGGTATTTAAGCCGGCTGATGGGTACATGGGAGTTCATCGTACTATTCTATTTTTTTATTATTATTTTTGAGATTTTTTACATAGTAAAAAGTTATTTTTTAAAAGGAGTGTGTTTCTGAATTATGCCAGCTTATGCTTATTAACTTTTCATTTGGCAGCACATCCACAGCAGCCACACTTGGTGGACACGGTGGAAACACCCACCATATTGATCGTGAGGAGATTCCAATCAGGTGGTTGAGACAATGCGGGGTCCCGTTCCCCTGCGCAGAAGATGGAGCACATTGATTAACTCTGCCATGACCCATAATGAATTCATTCAGCTGAAGACAGGGATTCCAGATTAACCAACAAAAAATGGTTTAGACAAATTTCAGCTGTCATAATTATCAGTAAATTATAGTGCTACATGGCTAATCCAATTTGGTCACTGTGGTGGCCAGGCCATTAACTATTACAGAGGACATTAAGGGATCTGCTGAAGAGTCAGTGAGACCGTCTGCACTTTTTTTTTTTAACATTGTCTCAAGGGCAATAGATCGAAAAAAACTAACAATCACACCCTTCAAGTCCTAGAAAGAATTTGCCTAGCCTGTGTGGTGACAGGATTAGGATTTAAATGCTAAGTTAATACAATATCTATTTTAGAATGGCCTCTTTTTTTTTTCTATCATGTTCACTTACTTTTCCCTTTTGCTTTCTCTTCCCCAATCATAAGAAAAATTTTGGCACATTCAATTAATTCCTAACAATTCCTCACATAAGCAGACCCTGCCTAAAAGCAGAATATGTTAAATATTACAATCAAGTCTTTCAAGTATTATGAATAATAGAGCTTCTAAACACACTGCTAAGGATTTAGCTGCCTGTTGATTTTAATTTCATTAACTCATGCATGACATAAATAAATCGGGTTTAAAAATAAAAGTTTTAATAGTAAATCTATTGCTATTAAAATGACCCAAGGCTACTAAGCATTGCACACTGCCATCTAGTGCTAAATGCCTTAGTTCCAAAGGCACAATGGACATCTTCCGGAAAGTAGAAATACTGTATTTTAAAGCAAATTCATCCAGAAAGACAGGTCTGAAATATATTTATTGAGAATTGCTTCAAGATTAAAAAAAGCTATTAGAAATAAATAAAAATGTTTAAAGGGTGTTTTTTTAATGCTGGGCATCAAGCATATCACATATTCTATTACGAGTGTGATGTATGCTGATGCTATAGGTGCAGTGAATGGTTACCTACCAAGTTTCGCATATGAAGATGTTAAATAGGATAGAAAATAATCACTAATGACCATTTCAAGCTTTCTTAAGGGCTTAGTTGTAATGTCCCTTCATCTCCAATTCAAGATGCAACTGGTTTTGAACTTTATTTTCCCAGCAGTGAATAATTTTTGTGTTTTGGTTGTGCTAATCGCTAGAGCTCATCTCTGATCTTTTGGCTTTGAGAAAAGTCAATCCCCATGACAATGAATTGAGAACCGTGTAAAAGAGTAGATTAAAGAAAGGATTGCTGTAGATGATTTTGCTCTGGTTGGGGAGTATATTTTATTTGCTTCATTGTATTCTACAATAGAAGTTCCCAGCTTGGTCTACTTAATGCACTGTAACTACCTATTTTAAGAACTAATGTGAGAGGTGAAAGACATATTTCTGTCCATTAAGTTTTTCACACTAAAAAGTACTAAGAGGATTTTCTTTAAACCACAATTGCATAACTTTTTAAAAATCATGTTCCTTTCTGAGAAACAAAAATCTCAGTTCTCCTTTTAAAGTACTTAAAATTTATAAGTAAATGACATTAAAAACATATTTTCTGTGGGAAATACAGAACATTGTTCAGTAATTTCAACATTAGGCCTGTTGCATTGCTTCATTTTGATAATCAGAAGGGCAGGTAAAAATAGATGACAGACAAATGGATAAAAGAAAGGGAGGGAGGGTTTGTCTCTCCTTTAAGAGAAGTGTTGCCTCCATCCTCTTGAATTCATTAATTAAGATAATTCCCAAAGGAATCTCCAATCAAAGCCACATGATGTAGAAAACTTCTCAAGATTTCTTTTAATCAGCTTAACCAGATGAAGACTGACAAATCTATTTCACTTAGTTCTGTATAGGGCTATTTTGACACCTCCTCCATACAATTAGGACACCAAGTTGGTATGGCTACCCAATGCAGAAGACAGAGCTTACAATATGGCAATTTAAGACACTCAGTTTGGAAAACACAATTTACAAACATATTATATTGAAATCCAACTCTTCACCCTATGTTGGGATTGCATCTCTCTCATGATAGCTGAACGTTTGGTAACATTACGAAGTCAATTATAAAAAAGTCTAAAGTTGCAACTCCTAGATATTTCATTGGCTGTATGGTATACCATCTATAACAAGATACTTCTAGGAAATAAGAGATNATTTTATGATAGGACATGAGTCACCTGGCACCTTCTGCTCTAGACCCAGTGAGGCAAACCTAGTCATCTGTTCCTGCAGTAAACCTTACTTCCTGTAAGAGGAAAGATGTACAGACACCAATAGTGTAAAAGCAAGCCAGTCTTTTGATACATGCCTCCCATTCAGGGGAAGGTCCGTGGTCTGCCCTCACCGTTGTTGCTGGGCTGCACCTGAGCTTGGAGTTGGGTTTCTGAGATTCTTGCATTGCCCTGAACTGTTCTTTGAGTGTAAAAAAGGATGTAGGCTTGAGTTTTGCACACTTCCTCGACACTGCATACATTCAGCTTTGAGTCATTGCAGTGGACCCAAAAACCTATGAAACCAAAGGAAAGAAAGAGTAAATGACTACCCAACTTATATTTCCAATCAGCAGGCACAACCAGGAGATGAAGAAAGGGACAGGAATGTGAATAGAGCTAAGCCCTGATCATTGGTGGTGGGGGAAGAGACGAGTAAATGAAACCAAGAGACTTCTCTGTAACCATTGGCTTTAACCCCACCAAACCCCACCACAATACCGTTTACAATATCAACTGATTCAAATTTTTGTCCTCATTTTATTTAGGCTTTTTCATTGCCCATTACGGCTTTCTATCTATAAAGACAGGAGACTGAGGGCTAAGAGAGGGGTAGAGAAGGAGGGAAGGGGAAATAGAAAAAAGAGAGGAGTGCTAAAGGAAAATTTAGGAGGACTAAAAAGTTATTTGTTCACAGGCTCACTCTGGCTACCTGGTTCAAGATCAGTATACTACTGAAAACACAGCTGCAGCCCTCCTGCCCCAGTGCAGTAACTAACTGGGAGGCTCTGCTCTGGGGGGGAAGGACTGAAAGGCTCTTGGGAGGGGCCCTGGCATCCCCACACCTCTCATGTAAGGGATGTAGTAAGGACATAGTAAGTGCTCAGTAAATGTTCTCAGCTTTATGAGCTGAAGCTAGTGAGAGTCATACAGGATCTCCATGAGGTGAGACAGGTCCTATTGTTTTTGCATAGCCAAGAAGGAAACAGAAGTCTGCAGCACAAGTATTAATAAATAATGATAACCTCTAACATTAATTGAGCATAAAGTGCTAGCTGTGCTAAGCACTTTTACATGTGTCAATTCCTGTCAATTTTTAGAAGTGTTAGGTTTTTACTTAGTAATATATCCAAAATTTGAATCCAACTTTCATAATCCTGCCCACTGGATTTACATGTATGTACTATCCCCCTATAAATGAAATAAAAGGAAAGCAATGAAATGTGGACAAACCAGCCCTTTCCGTGTCCCCCACCCCACAGAGCAAAGCGCACGCACCTCCCTCTGTGTTGTAGCAATAGGCTGTGTAGTGTCCTGAGCCAAACCCTTTCCCGTGATGCATGACCACTGCGGAGAGATCATAGGCAAAGGTCTCTTTGTCAAGAGAGGAGAGCATGTCCCTGCAGCAGTAAGGTTCCATGGTTAATACCTGGTCAAAGACGACATGGACCCCAATCTTCTCTCGGTGATTACGGCCAGACCACCTAGAGCATGGAGAGAAACTTCTTACTAGTAAAAAAGGGCATAAATGATTACAGGTAGAGGTGGGTAAAACTGGGAGCTGACAAAACAACCTTCCAGCTTTGGTTTTCATGTCAATAAAACACTAGTAATCAATGTTCACATGTATTTCCTGTGAATCTTCCATGATGTACCCTGAAACTAGAGATCCCTAAACAACCAATTCAGGGAATAATCTTTTGTAGTTTACTGCCTGCCTGTCTTTTCACAGATTACCTCATACTTTATTCCTAAAATGACTATATAAGCCTAAGTGAGGCTAGACAATCTCCAAGCACAGACAGCTGGTGCAGACTAGCTAATCAAACAGGGAGCCAGTCCTGAGAGCAGGAGCCAGTTGATATTGGTCCCCAATATCAACTTGCCCCACTGGGCATGACCCGTGTCATCTCCACGGAAAGCGTAGGGTCTCTAGGGAACCAGCGTCCCCTCCCAACAGCAAAGACATTTGCCTTCACCAAAGCCTTTGAAGCAGCGGTTCCCACAGCCACCTGGGACGCCGGAGAGCAAGCTCACCTGAATCTTTTAAGGTGCAGCCGCAGGACCTGAGGTAGTCTGTAGATCATTAACTGCTTTCTAGCTTCACTCAGAACAAGGGGTTTGGGATTGGATTTTCGTCGTTTGCCTATATGGTTTGGGAAGGTACAAGACACAGATTATGAGGAGTCTCATTCGTTCCTAGCTATGGCAGAGATAATGACTTGCCACTCAATATGCATTCTCCTTATTTCTCAGTATTTGAACCTCAATGTTATTTGGGGCAGCAATGTGACCCTCTGTAAGACTGCATTTTCCAGCCTCACGTGTCTGTGTGGTGTGGCCACGGAATTCTGGCAGAGATGGAAGGAATGATTGTGTGGCACTCTTGGGATGGTAGCTTAAAGAACACTGACTCAGTTGTAAGGTGCATTCTTTGTCCTTCTTTCTCACTGTTTGCAGCTGTTGGAATTCCTCTTGGACCATGAGATAATCTTGAGGATGGAAGTCTTAAACTAGGATAGTAAAGCTGAAATATGGAAAGAGCCTGGGTCCACAACAACCATGCAGCCACCATGCAAGCCTCTGAATGTCCTTCAGACTTCTTATACCGGGGGTGCCAAAAAAACGTATACAAGTGGACACTTTGGTTAACATTGCTCAAGCAGTAGTTCGCTGTAATCAGAAGTGTCTGGACGCTGATGGTAACCACTTTGAGCACCTCTTGTAATTACAGAAGTCAAACGTGACTTGTATTCATGTTTTACTATCGGTATATATTGAGTATTACAATTTTAATACAGTTTTCCTTCCTTAAAATGTGTATACATTTTTGACACCATATATATTATAAATATATGTAATATTATATAGTTATAATAAAATTTCATAAGCATTTTTAAAATGCTCCCATTAATCTACAAGGTAGTGAAAATGTATAACGTAAGTGAACAAACAAGTCTTGATTCAAATGACAATTGTGTCTGAGACTCTGAAGAGTCCTTAAAATATTCTCATATCTTAATGTGTTTTTCATACTGCATTTAAAGTTTTGGAAAACAAAGGCTCTGTGCATCTGACACACAAAAATGCAATCACAATATCACTGGATTCATTTAAAAATAAATGTTTAAAATGAAATTATTTGTCTAATAATCTTATTTCTTAAGCCTGAATATGCAAGTATGTGTATTTATCAGTATATCCTAAGGAGCTCTGTAATCAAGGATTTCTAACTCAACATAAAAAAGTAGTAAGAAAATAGCCTGTGAAGCAGACTCCCCAGGGCTTCAGAAAGATACAAGACATGTTGAAAACTTAAGGTACAGAATACTGAAGGGACAGACACAGCTTTCAACTGAACATTAACATATAACTTGAGCTTGTTTAAAACAGCACATTTCTATCTATTAAAATCCCCATGGTTATGAAAAACAAGAATTTATTCTATACAGGTTACAAAAATTATGATATTTATATATCTAATATTAGTACTGACTGGGGATTATGCACTATGAAATAAGAAAATGTAACAGATATTCAGCAAGCATTTTACTCACTAATTACGATTTTGTAATTTTTTTTAACTTTGTATTCTCAGATGTCAGGTACTTACCTGGAAACTGACATCCATTTGGTTGCTAAGAGATACAAAATCAGTGTGCACTGTTTTTCTCTGTCTTTTAGAGAATTGCCCTCTTGGGTTTTGCCTCAAAGTAGTGAAAGTTAACTCTGTTACCCATGTGGAGATTTATATTACTTGTACTAGAAGAAATTCCCAGGCCTCAGAAAAGAAATGAATTACTTTCAATATGCACAATTTAGAACAAATATCTGGCTTTTCCATAAACTTAATGATTTTCCATTTCACACAACTGAAAATATAATAGCATTATTTTATAATAAAATTTATAGATGAGTCTATGTTATGAGTATTTTGACAGAAATCTTATGAGAAATGAAGTTATTCAGTCAATTTGCATCACCAAAGTAAAGTTCAAACCCAACATTTTGAAAGTGTTTTCTGCCTATAACTTTGTGTGCTTCTTTAAGTAGATGGAGGGGCAAGACTAAACTTGGTCTATCTGGTTTTTCTTATACTTTATCAAAGGATCAAAAGCAAAACGCAGTTATAAATATGTACATCCTAACAGGTCAAGCGTTTGTCACAAATATAAATATTGATATGCCTAGTCAAAGAGCATGTTCTTCTAAAATAAGAGCAGTACTTAAATCAGCACGTTTTCTAATGACGCTGGACATCTAGACTCCCTTCACATGCACATTTCGTAACCTTTCAAGGACAATCTTCTAAGTCACATTTTAAAGAAATACGCTGAAAAAGCATCCCATGGCAGTCGCATTTTGTATTACTACAAAACCAAGTGGTTCAATTTTTAAGGCCCATGTGCTTATCACAAAGCCATTGATCATTTACTCTAATTTCATATCAATACTTTACTGGAGTATATCGCAAAAGAACACAAGATAATGCATTTATTTGTCTACTAAGGGAGAGGATGCCCACTTGCTTATTCCTCTTGTTACTCAACTTCTTGCACACCCTCAGCCAGCTGCCCTGTTGGTGATGCCTTGCATCTTACATGCTGTTTTAGCATTAAGTCAGATTACTACCATTTCTGGTCCAGAGCCCATTAAGAAAATTCCTGTTACAAGCAAGGTCTTTTAAATGTAGTTGTACGCCTATAAAAGGGCTGTCTAGTGCCCATTTTGAAGGGAAGAAGATGAATGTATCTTCTGTCTTCTAGGCTTTTACTTATTGTCTAGAGCCACACATTTTTAAGCAAGTTCCGTCATACTGGGAGAAAGGAGATATGGAAAAATGTAACACCTGGAGTCTTAAAATGTAATGACCTCAAATAACATCTCAGAAGGAGGGAGGAAACGTGCTCCCGGGAAGGCAAAACAGAGGCAAGGGAGCGAGTCTGCATCATTAAACCAAGAGTAATAGAAAACCCTCCCGGGTTTTTCCAGTAAGTTTTTGCAGCAGCAGCAGCAGCAGCAGCAGCAGCAGCAGAAACAACCTAATCAATATGCACACCCTCACCCTTCGAAACCTCTTGTCCCCAAACAGAAACTGTAGATCCCTCTCAACCTTGTTCGGGGAGGACAGAAAGGGAGGCGATTTCAGAGGCGTGGGGAGGAGCAAAAACAGCTGTGTAGCTCCAGCATCCTCATGTGAGTCCTAGCTACCAGCCGGCAAGTCCGCGCAGGAACTAGCCCCTGGCTCCTAGACCTCCTCGGGCCTGGGCCCTCCCTGCCAGAGGAGCCGAAGAGCTGGCCGCGCAGTTTTCAGACTCCAAACCACGATCTCCCCCTACCTCACCCACCCCGTGCCCTCATTCCAAGGCCCTTTCTTTCTAACCCCTTGGTGAGAGACCTCTTTGAGATTGGACAGGAGACGCTTTGGGGGGGCTAAGGGGAGACGTGTGGGGCTTCTTTAGAGGAATGAGTTGCCGGGGGTGGGGTAGGGGGATGTCATGGAGAGGGGCTCTTTAGTAAAACCCTGGGCATGGGGCAACTGAGACCCCAGTATCAATCACCCTCATTCCCACCCACCCCCCACTCCTCACCTTAAAGACGACTTCCGACCCCCCACCTCCGAGGCGGGGCGAGGTGGGAGGTGGGGGGACGCGGGTGGAGGGCGACGGCAGTTTTGCGGCCGGGATAGGGTGAGAGCTAGCCCCCGGGCCAACGCAGCTGCGCCCAAGAAACCACACAGGTGGGCGCAGCCTTGGAAGGTCAGGGAGGCCGGAGCTCAGAGTTAGCGGGGCCCAGAGACTGTCTGTGGGTGAGGGTGACCACGCGCGCCGGCCGGGCCGAGGGGGGCTGCCGGTGAGAAGGGACGTGCGGTTGCAGGGGTTCCCCGGCCACCACGGAGACACAGCGCACCCCACCCCTTAGGCAACAAGGCTGGCGGGGCCATCTGGGCTGCAAGACCGAGAAACTTAAGGCAAAACAGACAGGCTGCCCCCGCCAGGACGTGCCCCCGCGCTCGCAGCCCCGCTCCAACGCCTCCCAAGTCACCCACTGTCACCCACCCCACCCTGCAGAAAGCACCACGAGCCCAGGGCCCCCAGGCGGGTAATTACCTCTCCCGGAGGTGGAGTGGGGGGGCAGCAGCGGCAGCAGCAGACACTTCGAGCCTGACTTTCCGGCGTTCGCGCTGAGCGTGAGCGCGCCGAGCAGAGCCGTAACCTGCTATTTATAGACCAGAGCCTCGGCGCCCGGGGCTGCGAACCCAGAGGCGGCGAGGAGCGCGCTGGCGGCACAGGGCACGGGGCCGCGGCTCCGCTGGGCTCCCGCCGCGCTCCCCGGTCGCCCGCCCTGCCGCGCGCGCCCCAGAGAAGTTGTCGCCCGCGCTGCTGCCTCTCCTGCTGCTCACACGCCCCCTAGCACGATTGCTACTTTCTCCCCCCGCCCCCACCCTCCCTGCTCCTCTTCCTCCTCCTCTGCACGTTTCCAGCGGTCTCCTCCCAATGTCACCAGCGGCCGAACGGAGGCAGAGGCGGCGGCGGCGACAGTCGCGCAACTGGCGCAGCTCGCTCCCGGCTACTGATGGAATGGAGTTGATGCCCCAGCCCGAAATCACCCAAACACGCTTGCTCCGTGAGCTCGCAGCCTCTGCCCCAAACCTCTTCTGAGCCCCTAGGCGAGCGGAGACCGTCGCCCGGCCTGGGCTGTTGGGAGCACTGCTGCGGAGCGGTGGTGAGGGGTGACCCGGGGCCGCCACGGTGAAGCCGGGGCCAGAGAAATCACAGGGTTCGTTAATTCTCAGGAGGCCGCCACCGGCAGCGTCGGCCCAGACCCGGGAGGGGGTGGGGGTGGGAGGCAGGGTACCCCGATCCCCGGACTTTTGCCTGCCACCACCTTGGGACCCGTCTCTGTCGCCACTCCCCTCCGTAGTGGCCCGGGTAGAGGTCTGGCGGGGAAGACCCGGGCACCGGCTCAAAGCAGCCCACGGCCACCCACAACCAGCCCCCAAGTCGCCGCTGATGACTGAGGCCGAGCTACTCCCAACAGGCGTGTGTGCCTTTGGCAGCCTGTGTGCGTGGGGACATATCTGCACACTGCGTGTTTGAAGTGTCAGGAAAACGGGGTACGTAATCACACAGTCTGAACGCAGGCTAAAACTCCCCCACTTCCTCGCCACCAAGCCCACGGGGGAAGGCTCGCAGCCTGGTTATTCCCGGCTGTGGGGTGTGGGGCAAATGACTCTCCCCATCTGCGCCTTACAGGTGCCACCTGGCGGTTCTCTTGGAGAGGTTTTAACTGAGCTGCTTAAAAGGTAATGGTTATGCTGTTAATACTGAGCGCCAATCCGTCCACACAGGCACTCGCAGCCTTTTCCCTCCATAAAGCTAAGGGCGCTTGAAATTCACATTTTAAATAAAATAGAGTGGACTTGCTAGTACACACGGGTTCCACTTGACATGCAGAGAGACTGGAATCCCAAAATTAGGATGGAGACTTCGATTTGGGTTAAATCAGTATTTACAGTTACACAAAGTGGGAAGCTGTAGCTGCCCCCCAGCTGTCACCCCTGCTGTCACTTCCTGTATCTAGACATCCATTCACTCCACAAACATTTAACCGCCACTAGGTTATATGCTTTATCAATGAGAGCACAGACTCTGGTGTTTTGTTTTTCCATCACTCT